AGTATGAGGAATTTCTTTTCTTTTGTAGAAAGAATGAAGAGCAACAAAGATGATTAGGACCAGAGGCGAAATCGTATGGAGAATGGCGGCAGAAATTAGAAGCGACCAGTTTAATGAAAAAAAAAAGGGACTAGGGGAGACATGATTGCAGAGGCAAATTCCAATCACGCTTGGCCAATAAAGCTATTCCTTTTTACTCCACTCAATTTCATTCCGTATATTCCATTCTATTCCATTCCACTCCATACATTTCATTCCATACCATTCCTATTTCTATTCCACTCGACTTCACTCCATACATTCCATTCCACTCCACTCCATTCCATGTATTCCATTCAATTCCACTCCACTTCATTCTTCAATCTATACATTCCGTTCCATTCTATATATTCAATTCCATTCCTATTTTTATTCCACTCCATTCAATTTGGTATATTCCATTCTATATATTCCATTCAATTCCACTTCTTTCTTCAATCCATAGATTCCATTCCATTCCACATATTCCATTCCTATTTCTATTCCACTCCATTCAATTCAGTATATTTCATTCCATATATTCCATTCAATTCCACTCCATTCCACTTCATTCTTCAATCCATACATTCCATTCCATTCCATTCCATATATTCCATTCCATTCCTATTTGTATTCCATTCCATTCAATTCAGTATATTCCATTCCATATATTCATTCAATTCCACTCCATTCCACTTCATTCTTCAATCCATACATTCCATTCCACTCTATTTCATGTATTCATTCCACTTCACTCCATTCCATGTATTCCATTCAATTCCACTCCACTTCATTCTTCAATCCATACATTCCATTCCATTCCATTCCATTCCTATTTCTATTCCATTCCATTCAATTTGGTATATTCCATTCCATGTATTCCATTCAATTCCACTCCACTTCATTCTTCAATCCATACATTCCATTCCATTCCATATATTCAATTCCATTCCTATTTCTATTCCATTCCATTCAATTTGGTATATTCCATTCCATGTATTCCATTCAATTCCACTCCACTTCATTCTTCAATCC